AGCCTGTGACTTTCTGTGTGTTATATGGTGAATCTAAGTATGACCGGGCAACATCCCGCCTGATTTACACAGTTTTCACCCACTTTTTCACTTAAATTGATGTAATCGCTTTTAATTTCCAGAGACCTTTAACGTGCTTACATAAATGATTAGGCTTTGTGACCAGATTCTATAACCTTTGTGACTTTTTTGCAGGGATTATTTTTTTCGGTATCCAGCGAGAGGACTTAGCTGATGTGCACTGTGGAAACTGATGGATGCCTTAAATTCTGCTGTTTACGCAATCTTGAAATTTGCACCAGGCAATATATGATATACATAATCCAACTACCATTTAATGGCTGCAGTCTTCAAAATTTCGCAAAAAGTGAAGGCAATGTAAGTGTTCTCGTCTTGTCGCAGTAAGACGAGGCGGCCTGTGCAAATTGGATCCAAGACGAGCACTAACACCTGCGGGGAACGCGTTGTAGGCGCAACACATTATCTTGCATGGAACACAAGTATGCGATTTTTTATAAAATCGTGCTACTTAATTTGTTAAGGTTAATATAACTAGGTTGCAAATCTCAACAAACGCTGAACTCGACAGGGCATGGGAAAAACATACGTACCCTAAGGAGAGACCACCAGCATCCGAAGAACCAAACGAAGTAGACTGTCTAGACACCGGCGGGAAGCCAACACTGCCAGTGTAAGCGGAGGGTGAACTAGGAATCGGGAATATGAGGGGATTGGCCTGCGCGGCATTGACAGAACCAAAAGTCGCTGGACTACCGAAGCCACTGGCAGCACCAACCAGGCCCTCACTGACCGAGTCAGTGGAACTGAATAGATCACCGGAAGAAGAAGCACCTGTCGAGGAACCTAATAGGCCGAAAACATTAGACACAAAAGTATTAGAAGCAGAGCCGAACAGTCCGCCGCTGCCAACTGTGCTGCCGCTTGTGCCGGTTGAAGCAGCACCAAAAAAAACCTTGCCTAGAGTGGGTACTGCAAACAGCCCAGTCGAATAAGCAAGCGTTGGTGTAGCGCAGGTGTCGAAAAGTCCACCATCACCCCCACTGGGGAGAGGTCGGACGGGGTCAGAACTGCCTGCATACAATTGAAACAGCAAGCATGCATTTGAAAGGAACATACACCCACGAAAAGTTACTCAAATCATGATGGCGAATTTGGCTAAATAAAAAGACTTTGTCATATAGACGATGTGCAGTCTAAACGCCAACAATTTGAGATGCGTGGTTAGACAACTATGAGAGGTGTTACACTGAGCAGCTGGCCATTCATGCCATGGTTTAAAATCAAAACCCATGGCACTTGTGGCATCCTTTCACCAGTGTCCTTAGTTGGAACACTGAGGAATGTTGTGATGACACGCCTAGA